TGCTGAAGGATGGAGACAGGACCTGTTGGAATAAATGTCAGCTGCTGGTTTTAATTGGGGTTAAACATGTGTTTCATGGTGGAAATCCGGGATCACAGAGGGATCTGGAGCTGAAAACTTAATTATTCTATTACTAAAGAAATTACTATATTGTATATCATTCCATTCTCTTTTCCCTGTGTGGTGGAAGGACATGGCACTGTTACTGGTTGTCAGAGTGGAAAATGCTCTGCAGGAATGGCAGGGCCAGGTGTTAGTGAAAAATATTCCGGGTGTTAGGGAAAATATTGCACAGAGTTTGTCTTTTGGAGTTATCACCACACTTTGGTTCCCCAAATGCTTCCCAACCTGAAGGTGGCCTCCAAAAACCCCATGGTTACATCCCTGCTGGAAGGAGATGTGGCTGTTGAGTTTTCTTGGTCATTTGGGAGGCAACTTTTCATTTCAGTTGGGAATTTTCAGGGGTTGTTTTTTGTGGAAACTGAAGGTCCTGTTGAATTCTCCTTGCAAACCTCCTCCTGGTTCTGTTTTCCACGTGTGCCGAGGTGGTTGGGCTCACCTTTGGATAGCACGGGTGTCCTGGATGGTGGGAAAAACCCCAAGAATTGATAGTTAACCCCAAGAATTGATAGTTAACCCCAAAAACTGTGCCAAATCCTTGCTGGGGGAGGTGTTGGGTTACTCATGATCCCTTGGCTTCGTGTTCCAGGCAGGATCACTGCTGGGCTGGTGATCACGGGATACATCGAGCTCATCTTTATTCCCTTGGATCCTTCCCTGCTTTTACATCCCATCAAAACAGTGTTGAATACAAGCAATTACTTGTATCCAGAAAGGGCTGTTGGAGTTCTTTTGGATCCACAGTTCCTTTTCAGCTGAGCACATTTTAAAACTTCTCTTGTTCTCCCAAGGCTCCTTGTTGGTGCCGCTTTTAACTGGGGGTGAAAATGGGTTTTTTGTTGTAGATGTCAAGAAGGACTGGTCGGATCACGCGCTGTGGTGGGAAAAGAAGAAAACTTGGCTCCTGAAAACTCACTGGACGTTGGATAAATACGGGATCCAGGCGGATGCCAAGCTCCAGTTCACCCCTCAGCACAAGCTGCTGCGCCTGCAGCTGCCCAACATGAAGTACGTCAAGGTCAAAGTCAACTTCTCCGACAGGGTCTTCAAGGCTGTTTCTGACATCTGCAAAACCTTCAGTAAGTGCTGAAAAACCTCCCCCTGCGGAGCTTCCCGCTCGGCTTGGCTCCTGCCTCTCCTCTGCTGCACCTGCTTGTCCTGTAAATGTGATAAATCCTTGGTGTCTTCTGGCTTTGAACACCCAGGAGTGGCTTGGACGTCAAACACCCCCGATGTCCTTTCTTTTTCCCTTCCAGATCTACTCTTTTGTGTGTAAATACTTCAATAACAGGACCAATTGAGACAAAAATTGGAGAATTCAGCATTTTTTTGTGCTGAATTCTCTTCCACAGCAGGGCTGTTCTCAGGTTTGTCACAGGCGAGGCGGTACCAGCCCTGCTTGATATTCAGACTGGTTGGGATTTTCTTTTTTCCCCCCTACAAATTTATGTGCTGGATGAAAAGCAAACCCTGAAATGGGAAATCTGCCAGCCCTGTGGGTTGTCTTCTAGTGAGAAATGTTATTAGAGATTAAGTGGTGATGCTGCTCTGTAAAACTGTCTGGTGGAGGGAAGGTCTTGCTGCCTCCTCTTCACCCTCGTTTCCTGGTGGAGGAGCAGCCCTTGAGAAAGGAGGAATCATTCCCTACCAGGTATAATTTTTTAACCCATCATCACAAATTCCTCATCCCAAAACTCAAATGTTTCTTCCTGCCCACCAAAAAAAACTCCAACGAGGAGATGGCAACTCCACCTCGAGGAACTCCAGGAATTCGGAATTCTCCCCTCCCAAAAGAGCCTGCAACCCATCCTCAGCTGTAGCAAATCTATTCCTGCTCTCAGAAGGAGCTGAGGTTACTCTTGGCTGACCCAGTTGTTTGGGGAGGCAGGAGGAGCTCATCCCTATGTGCAGTGTCCATGATTTGGTTGGTATTTTTAGCTGGTTACAGATCTTTGCCGATGCTTTCCTGTTTTGTCGGGGTTTTTTAAAAACGTAAATATTGGGCAATTTCTCCTTAAAATAGAAAAGGCTTAGGCAGCGTTATTTCAGAGTGGATTTTGCTCCCCCCACCCCCGTGTCCCACTGGCATTTGGGATGTCGTGCTAGACAGGGAGGCTGATGAATCTCTCCAGCAGTGACTCAACTCAGGAAGTTCTGATATGTTCATCACGGGACAGGAGATCTGTCACTGATGCTGTCAGCATCTTACACGGGCCTGAAGCAGCCTTTTCTTCCAACTGCAGAGCTTTTGGTGTATTTATGACCAAACCAGCAGAATAATCCTGATATTTAAGGGGTTGGGAGGGGGGGAAAGCCAGTGGGATAGCAGAGGTTGGAGCTGTGAGCAGGCAGCAGGGACACATCCATCAAAGGTGGTGCTGACCTTCCCTTCTGCAGCATCTGAAGTACTAAAAAGGAGAATTTTGGGGAAGCAGGGCTTTTACTGGAAATTTCACTTTCCTTTGAGTGCCTCTCAGCAGTCTGAGCTGTTTGAGGACAGACACAAACTGCAGTGATTAAGTTGTTTAGCCCTCCCAGTTGTGTTTACTGGGAGCCAGATGTTCAGCAGAGCTACTGGGAAGATGATACATGAGCTTGGCATCAGCTTGAGGCAAGAGGGATTGGGATGTGGGGATGCAAAAGTGCTGGACTTGGAGGGGCTAGGATGCTCTTCCCAGAACCACAGAGGTATAAACACAAATGATGTACAAATACATTTTATATAATTGTTTAAATGCACCTATAGATGTTGAAATGCCACTATTTATAGATGTCATATCTAATGTGTTTTAACATTTATATACTTAATATATATATAATATAAAAGTGTATATTATACATTAATGTAAAAAACCTTTTTATTTATTTATTTATTACATATTAAGATTAAAATCGTTGCCCAGAGAAGCTGTGGCTGTCCCATCCCTGGAAGTGTCCAAGGCTAGGCTGGACAGACCTTGGAGCACCCTGGAATAGTGGAAAGTGTTGGATCTTTAAGGTCCCTTCCAACCCCAACTATTCTGTGATTTTGTGATTCTGTGATTCTCCTTTTTCCCTCCCCATTTGTGTTTTCCTGCTCCTTTTTTCTCCATTGCCTTTCCCTGCCCTCCTCAGCATCCCTGCTCAGAGCTCTCATGTTCCATCTTAATCAAGCTAATTGCCTCTCCAAGGAAAACTGAGCAGATATTTCAAGGTGGAAGGGAATGTGATCCCAGCATTGTCCTTGTTTCTGAAATCCCTTGATTTCTGAGCTCCAGGGAACTTTGGACAGAGCTGTGCCTGGGAGTTGCTCATACTTTGGCTGTACCTGTTTGCTGTCGCTGCTCCTGGATCATTTAATTACACACCTCAGTAATTGAGGTAATTCCTGATGTTCTCAGGACTCTGGCTGGTTGCATTTATAAAATCCTCGCTGCACAAGCAGGAACAGCCCTGGATGAATTATTTAGAGCTGTCCTTTGCTTCTGTTCCCTTTGAATGGTTACCCAGAGGTGTGACCCTTGCAGAGTGTGGTTGATTATTTTGAACAGAAGTCTTTGTTCTCTTGTGCAGAGAGAAGTTCTTCCAAAGGGCAGATCCCAGGGGCTCCCAGGAGGTGCCTGTGGGAAGATGCTGGAGCCACTCACACATCCCTCACTTTCCTGGAGGTCGTGTGAAGCTGGAAAAAAACCCAATCTCATTCCCAGTGCTGCAGCCCCTTGATTCCCAGAGCAGCCACTCAGGAGGGTTAAAGGCAGGGATTGACCCTGGCAGGCACGAGGAGAGGAGTGGGCAGTGCATGGATGGGCAGTCCTCATCCAAAGGGTGGCCTGGAATCCTGGAATCCTGCCCAGGAGCAGCTGCTGGCAGGCAGCTCCAGCTTGAAGGGCCAGCTTTGATCTGCAATTGAAGACCAGAGAAAGAGAAAGTAAAACTTCCCTTTTTTTACCCTAAGCAGCAGGGATTTGTGCTTCCTGCCTGGCTGGCAGTGGGACACGGGGGTTGGGATGGAATGTTCTCATCATCCCACTGGGAGATAATTCCACCCAGAAAAGTGCCCATCAAGTATCCAACTGCAAATTTAATGGGCTGTGATGCCTTAAGAAGGCTGCCCTAGAGCAGAAGCTGGATGGGATTAAAGAATAAAGCAGGGATTTATTCAAGGATCTCCTCCATGGATCCACCTTGGGCAGCACCAGAGCCCAGCCAGGGCTGCACCCAAATGACCCAAAATGGTCCCAAAATGCACGAGCGCTCCCGGGGCTCTCCCTGGGATCAGTTCTGCTCCATTGGCACCTTGGAGTTCATTGTCCCATTCCAGCTCCAGCCCATCAGTCCCACCCTGCTGGCTTTTCTCTCTCCAGCCCACGCTGTTTGTGCTCCTGGGCTGAGATTTGGATCATTTGTCCTTGGTGCCCAGCTGGAGCAGGAATTGTTTTGTGTCCCTGCTCTGTGCACAGAGCTCACCATCCCCTCATATGAAGCCCAGACCCACACACTAAAGCAGCACAGAATGGGAAAATATAAAATCTGAACCTAAGGTGTCAGCTGCACTCAGCATTTTATTGGTGTAAGTGGGAATATCCTCATTGAAAGTGGGATTTGGGGAGGTAGGAGATGCTCATCCAACATAACAAATGGAAAAATCCTCTTTCCTTTTGTGAACAGGAAGGAATTCTCTACTGTGAGGGCAGTTAGGCACAGGATGCCCAGAGAAGCTGTGGCTGCCCCTGGAAATGTCCAAGGCCAGGTTGGACAGGGCTTGGAGCTTCCTGGGATAGTGGAAGGTGTCCCTGCCATGGCAGGGAACTGGATGATCTTTAAGGTCTTCTGGGATTCTGGGATGGCTTCACTTGATTCCAGCCCAGTGGATGTCTTACAGCTGCTTCCTTCCAGCATTTTGCCTGTATTTTTTTCCATGTATCCCAGGAGCTCCAAGGGACTCCAGGCAGGCTCTGCTGCTGCTCTGTAGGCACGTGGGACAGGAAAAGCAAACAGCAAGATGAAACAGAGAGAGATTTTTCCCAGGCCTCGGCGTTTCCTGCCCCAGCAATGCTCCTTCTCCTGGGGACACGACTTATGTTGGAGCTGCAGGGTGAGGGGAGATGCTGTGACAGCAGAAAAGCTCCAGTCCCTCTCCTCTTCTCCTGGCTGTGAAGATCTGGGACCTCTGCTGCCCTCCAGCCTGAGAGGAGCAGGGAAAATTCTGGTTGATGTTCATGGGAGCACAGAGAGAACAACTCAGTGCCAGAGCTGGGAGGAGGAAGCTCTGGGAGGAAACACTCCAAAATTCATGACCAATCCCTCCCTGCCCACCCTGAGGCTGTGTAAGACAGAGAAATTCCCTTCAGGCTCTTTTATTTCCCCAGAGTCTGGTGGAGCCTCACAGCCAGCTCCTGCCTCATAATCTGTGTGAATTAGTCACCTGTTTTGGAAAACAGTCTGGGGAGCATCCTGTGCCCAGCTGGGGCATTTCCATGGCCACATTCCATCTTGCTCTGGTCTCCAGCTCCCCTTCTAGCACAGGGTGAGGGTGGTCTCATCCTGAGGAGCTCGTGGAGCTGGGGGTGCAGAGGGCCCCATGAGGGTGATGAGCTGCTTCCCGTAGTCCCAAAAATAAGGAGGTTCCCAAGGCTCGGCGAGTGGTGGGAGGGTGCCAGCCAACCTTCCCTGCCTCAGCCTCCAGCCACCAAATGCAACCTGAGCCGAGCTGGCAGTGGCACTTGGTGGCAGTGGCATTTGGGAGTGGCAGGATGCCAGCCCAGGGAAGGTGACACCATCCCCGTGCCAAATGTGACCTTACAGGTTTTTTTTTTGCCTTTTCCAAACACTCCCCGCTCCAGGACAGAACGTCCTCTGACTCCTGAAGTATTTGCAATATTTCCACGCCCTCCGTTGCCAAAAAGACTTCTATAAAAAGCCACTGTTTGTTGTTTTTTGGGGTTTTTTTTTTGTTGTTGTTTTTGGGTTTTTTTGCAAAGCTGAAACCCTTTGGTGGACAATGTGCAGCGTTCCCAGGGCTCTGTGACAGGCACGTGGAGCTGCATCCCTGGCCCAATTGCTTTCCAGGAGGCAAAGCTGCCTGGAGTTTGTGGAATCACAGAATATCCTGATTGGAAGGGACCCACAAGGATCATCAAGTCCAACTCCTGGCCCTGCAGAGGACAAGAATCCCACCATCCCTGGCCACTGCCAACCTCCAAAACTTTCTTTTCTTCCTTCACACCCTGCTGGTAAATAAAGGAGCGTTTTCCCTAAAATCATGGAGTCCTGGTAGATGCACGTGAGCATCTCAGGGGGAATTTGGGGAGCAACACCAGCATTCAGGAGGAATTTCTTCATGGAAAGGGTGGTCAGGCCTTGGAAGGGGCTGCCCAGGGATGTGGTGGATTCCCCATCCCCGGAGGTGTCCAGGGAAGGACTGGACATGGGCTGGGTGACAAGGTGGGGATGATTCACAGGTTGGACTCGATGATCCTGGATGTCTTTTTCCAACCTGAGTGCCTCTGGGATGTGGGGATGGAGGCTGTGGATGCTCAGGAGCATCAGGAGGATGCTCGGGGATGATGGAGGCGGTGAAACCCCGAGGATGGATCTGCTGCCTTTCCCTGCCACGAGCAGAGAGCTTTGGCAGTGGCACAGCAATTTCTAAATATGTCCAGGGAATGGGTGTGGAAGGAAATCTTCCCATTTCGAGAGCTGGCCAAACTGCAACGTCCTCAGCTTTTCAACTGCAGGGCCCAAGTGCTGGCTGCCAGCTGCGGCGCTTTCCCCTTTTATTGCCTGCCCGAGCTCAGCTGTCAGACCAGCCCCAGGAACTGGGGTCAGGGAAATAACCAGATTTAATTACAGAGTGTCTGAGATGGGAAAAAAAAAAAATAATCCTTTCCATTTTCCCCCCCCGTCCCCACCCCAGTGGTGTTCTGCGTGTGGAGGAGCATCAGGTTTTATGTCACCGTGTGAGTCAGTGAATTTTTTCTTCCTTACTCTGCTGTTGACAGAGACTCTTTAAATAGAATTCCATCCTGAAGACATTAGGACACGCTGGCCAAGCCTTCCTTGGAATTAGTTGCATTGCTCTTTATGGGCCAGTGCAGAGGGAATGGTGTAAGTGGATTGTTTTTCTCTTGTTTGTGGGATTAAATTAATGGAGTTTAATTGGACTCGAGATGCAGTTCAGCCACTTCAGGGGCAAGGCTTGCAGTGCTGCCTGTGCTCCAGGAAGCACCCAGATAACAGGAGCCTGGGGATTTCGTCCCACTTATGGAAAAAAACATCCAAACATTCAAGTGTTTGTTGACTCTGCCTCTCCAATGGCTCTTTTTGTTGGCCTTGCAGTAATGCTTGGCTCCATCACCGCTGCCTGCATCCTCCTCCTCCTCCTTTTCCTCCTCCTCCTGGGTCTCTCTGGGCTGATGGTGCCCAATTTCAGCTCTGGGAACCCCTGGCACAAACACTCACACCCCTCCAAACCCCAGTGACCCCATTTTTGGGTGGTTTTGCACATCATTGCTCCCTTGGCATATCCATAAGTCAACAGGCACTTGGATTTTCCACCCACAGTTTGGGAAGGCTCCAGCAAAACCTCTGCCAGGGGCAGCTCCAGCTGATTCCACACCCATAGCACTCCTTGGGCATCTCCAGAGGCTTTGTGGGATGTCCTGAGAGAGCTGCAGGGCCCCAGGCAGTGAGTGGAGAGCTTGGCTTTTGCCCAGATAAATATTTAAGTTCCTGGGCATCTGAAGAACCCATGATAAAATGTACTGAATGTACAAACCCAGTACAAACCATGTGCTGGGGGGAGAGGACCTGCTCCATCAGATACTGCCCCGTGTCCAACAGCCACAGCCTTATCTCCAGACACTCCTCATCTTATGTAAGTTCCTTTTTTAGTTTCTTTTTGGTTTTTTTGTTTTTTTTTTCCCCTTCTGGTCTGTTTTGCAGAACTTTATCTTGAGAGAATTTATGCCGCAGATAAGTCGGATGCTTCATTCTGTAAACTTACACTGTGAAAACCAACCGCAGAATTTACTCATTCCTAGAAAAAAAATCACCTTTATTTTTGGTTTTAAGTCTGAAATGGAAGAAAAATGAGGTTGGAGGTTTCATTTTTCTACAACTCGTCAGAGTGATGCACAAAGGCTGTAATTTTTATGAGTCACTGGTTGGAGGGAGCAGTGATGGAGTGCAGAGAAATCCCACTTCCCAGAGATATCCCACTTTAAACCACATTTCCTGAAGGAGGGTGGCTGGATCAGCACTAAAGAGAGGACTTCCCCTCAGTGCCGTCTGTGCTGCAAGTAAATTAATGGAGTTTTTATGTTCAGGAATTAAGGAGGTGAAGCAGCCCTCTGGCCTTTAGGGGAGCCAGAAACGGGGAAGGAAATTGGATGCTGGAAGCTTCTTTGCAACACTAATTTTCTTTTACATCAAAAATTTCTTTGTGTCTCAGATTATTATCTGTATTTATGAAAACTGAAGAGTGAAAGTAGGGCGATTTCCAGTAATTTCAGTTTTGGGGGAAGTTGGTCCATATTTAACCCTCCCAGTCAATGATGTCACGTTCTATATATGGGTGATGTAAGAAAACCATAAATCTGATTTTTTTGTGGGAATAGGAGCCCCTGGATCCCTGGAAGTGCCCAAGGCCAGGCTGGACAGGGCTTGGAGCAGCCTGGGACAGTGGAAGGTGTGGCAGGCTTGGAATGAGATGAGCTTTAAGGTCCTTTCCAACCCAAATCCTTCTGGGATCCCCAGCACAACACACCTGGGTGGATAAAGGTGCAGCAGCTGCAAGACTTACTTGGAGGGTTTAGTGCAAAAGAGCATAAAATGGGAATTTTACACTGTGTAAGGAAGATTTTTATTTTTTTTTTTAAGTCAGTTTGCAGGGTGCAAATGGTGCTTTGGGAAGGAAGAGGGTTTAATCCCAGTTCTGGAGTTTGTCTTAAATGGGAGATAAATGGGCACAGCTGGGCTGGATGAGAAATGAGGGATTATGCTGGAAAAAAAGGCCAAGGACTTGTGTTCAGGCACAGGCAGGATCTTGCAGGCAAATGCAAGAGAAGATGCTGCAGGCAGCAAAATGGCTTCATTCAAGAGTTGGGAAAATTTGGAGATCAAAGCCACCTCTCAGATGATATTTTTGAGCTCCAAGACTCTTCATTCCAGCTCAGGCCTTTCTGTCTCAATCCCAGAAGGGTGTAGGTTGGCAAGGATGTTAAATCTCAGCCAGTCCCACCCCTGCCATGGCAGGGACACCTTCCACCATCCCAGGCTGCTCCAACCTGGCCTTGGGCGCTTCCAGGGATCCAGGGGCAGCCACAGCTGCTCTGGGCACCCTGTGCCAGGGCATCTCCACCCTCACAGCCAGGAATTCCTTCCCAAAATCCCATTTAAGCCTTCAGTTAGAAGCCATTCCCTCAGCTGCCTTGGTGGGTTTGTAAAGTGCTGGAGTCAGTGGATGGATGCAGTTGGGAGGAATTTGCCACTCATCCATGGGATCCCTGCTGGCATCCCGAGGATGTGCTGCCTGCTCCATCCCTTGCAGCCATGTGCTGCTCCAAGCAGCTGCCCAAACTTGCCCTGCATCCTTCCTATCCAGCCAGGAGCATCAGGAACAACTGAGGGGCTATAAAAAGTCTCTTTGCTATCAGATGGTCAAGCCCTGGGATGATTCCAGGATTGCTTCCAGAATCCGAGCCTGGCCCGGAGCCTCCCTGAGTGCTCCCAGCTGAGAGTTGCTAATGCACCATAAATAAACCTCAGAGCCTCAACCTTGCTCCAAAATACCAGGGGAACTCCTCGATTTAGGCTGTGCTGCCTCTTGTCCCCTGCCTGGGGGCTGGTTGTCCCAGCAGATTCCTGCTCCCTGAGGTCAGCTGGCTGGGATAAATGGGAATGCGTGGAGCGGGCTGCGCTCAGCTCCGGGTGCTTATTGCTAGAAATGGTCAAAAGGTTGGGCAGGGAAAATGGAAGGGTGGGGGCAGGGATGGGGTTTAGTGGGATGATATGTGTGGATTGGGAATAAATCATTAAGTTAAAGCTGAAATTGGAGAAAGGTTATATATCAAAAGGAATAAAATAGGTAAATAATATAGGAATAAATATCTCTACATACAGGAATAAAACTGTAAGTTCAAAAAGTTTGTATCTAAAATATAAATAGATAAAAATCAATATATTTTCAATCTATTTTTTAGAGATTTAAAATCCATATAGATACCTAAATCTATATACTTTTAGCCTGGAAGAGTTCAAGGCCAGATTGGACAAGACTTGGAGCAACCTGGGATAGTGGAAGGTGTCCCTGCCTATGGCAGGGGGTGGAACAATGTGGACTTAAAGGTTCTATCCAACCCAAACCATTCTGGGATTCAATTATATGATTGAAATAAATATATAGAAATAAAAATAAAGCTTAAAATTAATTATGCTTTCTAAAAATACATATATATCAATATATCTACGCATATATAAATATATAAATATTGTATGTAAGTAACTACAAGAATATAAATAAAGATAAAACTTAAAGCTAGAAAATGGGATGGGACACCTACAATATAAAAGACAGTTAAATCCAGAAGTGTGCAGCCTCTGGATTCAGGAATGCCAGGGCTAGTGGGATCCACCCCTGAGAATCACCTGGACGGGGCATGATCCCAGTGTGGGATTTCCAGCAGGTTTGCAGGAAGTGTGGGTGGGCAGTGTGGGGCTGTGTCACCTGCTGGGGACCAAATTCCACTGCTAATTACTGTGGCAGGCACATTCTTCTCTCTCTCAGGATATTTTCATAGAAGAACACAGAGGGAAGAAAGAGAAAACAATTTCTATTTCTGCTCCTTGTTTTTCCCATGTGGAATGTGCTTGGAGAATTGTTTACCTGGAGTGAGTGCTTGGTTGGATTCTGGTGAGGATTGTTTGAGCCTGGTGGCCAACCCAACCCACCTGGGGCTGGGCTCTGGAGAGAGTCAGATATGGTAGTTAGAAAAAGCAAATTTGTAGTTTTAGTATCTCCTTTAAATAGTATATTGATGTATTATGGCATAGTTATAATAAAGAAATCATTCAACCTTCTGAACTGGAGTCAGACATCAGCATTTCTTCCCACCAAGGTCACCTGCATTTACAATAAATTATAATCCTGGGAGTGCTCAGGGAGCTCCCACTGCTGCCAGCACGTGGTGAGATCCCAGCCCTGGGACTTCTCCTGGCTGGGAGAACGGCTGGCTGTGTCCTTGGGTGGGAAGCACAGCCT